GAGGAACCTATAAATATGAGATTATTTTAGGAAAAGTGAGAACAATTATAGTCTATCTCTATGAAATAACATTTTATTTTTAAATTTCCTTACAGTTCCTGTTTCATCGTCCATTAAGGCTGTTGAATCTGCTTATCCTCATTGAGGGCAGTGTCGTCTTCTACCAGCTCTATTCCTTACTGCGGTCGGAGAAGTGGAACCACACGCTTTCCATGGCTCTCATCCTCTTCTGCAACTACTATGTTCTATTTAAGCTTCTCCGGGACAGAATCGTATTAGGCAGGGCATACTCCTATCCACTCAACAGTTATGAACTGAAGGCAAACTAAGCTGCCTCTCAACAATGAGGGAGAACTCAGATAAAAATATTTTTCATACGTTCTATTTTTTTTCTTGCGATTTTTATAAATATTTAAGATATTTTATATTTTGTATACTATTATGTTTTGAAAGTGGGAAGGGTAAGGGATATTAAATGTATCCATAAACAAGGTGATGTGATCTTTCATGTGTTAGTACATTTGAATAATATACATCTGAGAGGTGTGCCTCTCCAGTAAAGAAATTGATTTGTTTGTATGGCTTCAGAATAACTCATTCATTTATGAACACATGTCATATATCTCTTGACATCATACTTTGCAGTGTTCACTTTTCTTTCAATCCTTCTAGTTATCTTTAGTCTTCAATCGGCCTTATTGCTACAGAAAGGGAGATCAGTGGAGTTGCCTGCCAACACCCATTCTTTCTTCAGTTGGCTAATAGAATTAGAATGTGCGGGGGAAAGAGTAGGTTGTACATAGTCCTGAGTGGGATTCTCTTTGTTGCCTACTGGGAGGAAGCATTTCGGAGATAGAAACTCAGTGATCTCTTCTGCCCTATACCATTTAAATATACTTTTGAATAAGCTACTGTCCTAAATCTCAGGATATTGCTGTCGTCTTCCCTGTTCTTTTATTTCTTTTGCCTCTAAAGATTATCTTTTTGTTTTTAGCTATTTAAAATAATACTTTTTAAGACAGAAAGTCTTTAAGACTGGCCAGATCAGTGCGAGAAGATGAGTGCACGTGCCATGTGGGCTGGAGTGTGGGCAGGTTGAAAACATTAGGTACCTGGGAGAATGGGCAAGTCCTCTGCTAAATAGTCATAGACACAGTTCAGCAGCAGCCCATGCACGGTGGCATGTTTGAAGTTATGAGTGGAAGTAAATTCTAAGAAATTACTTCTTTGTCCTCTAATAATTTGGTCTGTGCCCAAAATGTGTGTGTTTAATTTCACACCCGGAACATTCATGTTTGTGAGCATTAACCCTTTTCAGTCCATGTTCTTGAGATGTAATATACTTAGTCAATTGATGTCACCAGTCATCCAAACTTCTGAGGCCTTGTCTGAGAGCCTCAGTATATTCTTATATTTCTGTTCTCGGTTGGGTTTTTTTACTTTGTGAAGCTGATGAAACACAATATGAAGTAAGAAGATCAATCATGTAATTCATCAACTTGTTCTGAAAACAATTCTTGCAGAATTCCCAGCATGTTTTTAGCAAAGGCAGCATTGTGAGTAGTAGGTGTGTATACAGCTACCCACGGTGACTGCTATGTTTAAATTAATAATTTTTGCCTTAAATATTTTGCCTCATATACTTTTTTTTTTAAAGTAAAACTATTTGGCATTCAGTTTGAGTCTATTTGGCCATTCCAAAAAATATGTATTGCCTTTGCTGATTTGGTTCAGTGGATAGAGTGTTGGCTCATGGACTGAAGGGTCCCAGGTTCGATTCCAGCCAAGGGCACGTATCTAGGTTGCGGGCTCGATCCTGGGTGAGCAGGAGGCAACCAATTGATGTGTCTCTCTCACATTGATGTTTTTCTCTCTCTGTCTCTCCCCCTCCCTTCCACTCTCTCTGAAAAGCAATGGGAAAAATACCCTTAGGTGAGGTTTAACAAGAAAACAAAACAAAAAAATCTTTATTGACCACTAGGCACTATATTAGGCATTGGAGGACATAGTCTTGTGAATAAGAACTGCAAAACCCTACCCTCATAGTTTACAATATGGGGATTAGGGGGTACGGATGTAAATGGTGCCATAAACAAATTTATAATGTCTCCTGGTAGTAGTGTGGTCAAGAGAAGATAAATCAGGGCAAGAAAATAGGAAGTATAATGAATAGCATTGCTAGAATGCATCTCTGAGATGATTTTTGAGCAAAGACCAGAAGCAAGACTGAGCCATGTAAGTAGCTTTGGGGAGAATTCCATGTTATAGTAACAGCAAGGGCAGTGCCCTGAGGTGGGAACAATTTTGGCATATTGGGGAAATAGTAAGATAACCAGTGTATTGTATTTTTATGTGAAGTGGTTCAGCCTAACTATGGTGGTTCTTGGGGTGGGAGAGGGTGGGAAAGCTGTCATCTTTCCTTAGAATCTTAAAGATATGCTTCTTTTGACAAACATTTTGATGAGATTACTTGACAGCTAAAAGCAAAATGGGTGGCCTGCACATAAGGATGTCTCATCAAAACAGTCCCAAGTTGGCTCTCTCATTGAAAAGTAGCCCAGATGAACTGATTAGAGATCATAGACTAGTCTTGTAAGCTGACAGCATTCCCCCTTCTAGTTTGACCTGTCTTGGCCATATCCTAAAGGAGCAGCACAGGAGAACCAGATGCCAGGTTGACTAAACAAATAAAAGAATGTAAGAAAGAAAAATTAAACCCTTCAGTTCATCATGCTCTGGCTCATTTCAGCTGTCCTTTGTAGGTATCACATTCTGATGGGGAGAGAAAAATTACCAGTTACCTGTGTGACCTATGATTTACAGATCATGTGAAAGAAAGAATACCATCTTGCTTAGTGATAGGAGGAGGTACATGCCCATTAAAGAAGGCCCCCCCTTTTTTAGGTAATTGTTTATATGTTGGGAAAGTAAATGGTGTGTTGGAAAAAAAAGGATCAATTGGGTGAACTTGGGATACAGGGAAAGGAAAAGATGCTTGACCAGTTTTAGTTATCTGGGTGGCTTAAGGTGGGTAAATGTGTCAGAGGTGGGTCATTCAAGGCATGAGCATGGTGAAAATGTTCTTCAATATTCTTTTTACTCTGGTTCCATATTGTATTCCCTAAGCTTCCTTCCCTCCGCTCCCTATCAATCACCACCACCTCACCACCCATTTCTGTTTACTGAGTATCTATGCCAGACACTGTGGGTGCCAGAGAGAGTGATGTTAAGAGTTTAACTAATAGAAAGCAAACAAGTCAATAATTATAACACAAAGGTGTTCAGTAAAGGAAATATATGCAAGATACAGAGGAGAGGCAGAAAAGAGGGTGAGCAACCTCTTTGGAAGGCTTTTTTGCAGCAGTAACATGGTGCATTTTGGGGGAGAACTAGATGATTGCCACATGGGTGAGGAAGGTGGGGTTCATGCAGTGAGAACAGGATATACAAAAAGTCGAGGCATGAGTTTGCACTTGGTTTTTAAATAACGAGTTCAATAATGCGGGAGAGGTAGGCAAGGAATAGAGAAGGACTTGAATTCCACATTAAGGGGTTTGTAGATTGCAGGTTTTCAAAGGGGTGATCCTTGGATACGGCATCAGACTTTCTAAGGCAACATCTTGAGGGTGAAGCCCAATAATACACACCTTTCACACGTAATTTTTTTAAAATTTTGTTAAAATTTCTCATATTAAAAAACGCCATGAACTTTCTATGTAGAACAAAATTCTACATAATAATTCTACCAATAATTAAAGAAAAAAGAGCAAGGGAGAGAAAGAAACTGTTACAGTGTAATTCAGATCATTTTAAAAAGTAAAATCAAGTGCAATTTTGTTTACACATGGTATATATTAAAGTCTTGATATGTTCACTTAAAAAAAAAGGGTCCTCAGGGGAGTGTCAAGTTTTACTGAAGTCCAGGAAGTGGAGGCAACCTTCAGAGAAGAGGCTGTAAGGAGAGAAGGGCTCCAGAACAACTGGGAAAGATGAGGAGTGAGGGCAACTGTGAGGCCAGTTGGGGTGGGAGGGAGGGGTTGCAGGAGAGGGAAGCAGGAGGGGGACCAGGGAGTGTCTAGAAGAAAAAGGCATTTAGGGCAGTAGCGAGGGCTGACAGGAGCAGGCCTAGGAAGTGTGATGATCTAAATGGAATATTGTTACCAAAATGCTATTATTTTTATCCCCTTGACTGTGACATCTTTCACTGCAAATATCACCGGCTTGTGAGCCTGGGTTGCATAACTGTTTTCCTAAAAGTTTCATTTTGACATATTGAGTACCCCCCCGCCCCTTTTTTTGTGATAATCTATGCCAAGATAACAAACTTTTGCTTTTTTAACCCCTAGAGCATCATTAAAATAATCATTCAAATGAAAGACTAGTCCCCCTTGACTGACTCAGGTGAAAGAAAAATTGAGTTCACTTTGGTGTAGGTGGATCCAAACTTCTTAAGCTGTGGAGTTTTGAGAAGCAATAGCTTTTCTTTTCTTCTCACTTTTCAATTACAATAGCCATTGACTTATACTGGGTATCTTGGGTGACATGTGTGATTGCAACTATAAGAGAGTGAAGTTGCAAATGTTGACAATTATTAAGAGGTAAAACAAGAAAATTTACTAAAGAAAGTCATCAGGCTTACCCGGCGTGCCTCAGTGGTTGAGCGTCGACCAGGAGGTCACGGTTCGCTTCCCGGTCAGGGCACATGCCCGGGTTGTGGGCTTGAGCCCCAGTGTGGGGTGTGCAGGAGGCAGCCAATCAATGATTCTCATCACTGATGTTTCTATCTCTCTCTCTTCCTCTTTGAAATAATATATATATATACAGATATATATATAAACATATATATAAAATCATCAGGACTTTCTTGTGAAACCATACTTTGAAGTAATAAAAAATGACATCAAACTAGAACAATGAGCCTGATGCACATAATGCCCCTTTCCTAGCATCGATTTTGATGACCCCGTGTCCTCCTCCAGTTCATAGTGCCATCATAGGTATTGCATTTTATATCATTTATTAGAGTACATTTGTAAAGCATAACAATCTGTTTTAATTACACATAAATGTCTCTATGGATAGGTTTAATATATTTTTTAATAGAAAAACATTTTGATTATGTCTTTGGAATCATATTCGTCAAGCTCAACAAACAGGCTGAAATCATGTTGCTTTCTAATAAACTTCTTTGAAAAAGTGCTTTACCTTGCAGAATTAGACGCCAGGAAGTACTATGGCATTAAGTTATTGCAAAGCATTGTGATTCATCCAGTAAAATGCATGGCTATTTATGTCATGAATTTCTTTTATTTAGTTACATCCTCCTTCAGCCTCATAGAGAAGTGATCCCTGCATTTATTTGCTCATGAACCTCCAGGCTACTAAATGATCTACTGTGTGCCCATCAATCTCTGGTTGTTCCCCAATTTTATCCTTTCTGGACTGACACTGATCCCAGGCAATTACCCTTCTACAATCTCCCTTCCTCGTGCTAGCTCCCTCTTCTGGCCTGACTTCGCTAGAAAAGGTGTTGAAAAAGTACATGTTCTTTGTTATTCCACATTTTGAGCTGATCTTCCTGCTGGAAGTACCTAAAATCATACTCCTGGCAACACTTAACCCCAAGATTCATACTGTCATCAGATAGGACAGGCAGAATCTAGCTCTAATCAATCCTGGTGGGAATTGGACCGACCCTGAACCTCTCCTATTCCAATCCCAGATAAAGGAATCATGTTCCCCAGTACCTCTTCAGGCAGGAACCCACAGCCTGTATAGACAAATGACTGTCCCACCCAATTTTAGTCAAATGTGATCATCATGTGCTAAACATTAGACATGAAAGGAACAGTTTATCTTGGACCTCTCACTTCATCATCGACAGGAGTTAACCCATTCTGTGACGATGGAAGTTCCTAAACCACTCTCAAGGAGAATGGAACACTGGTATTACCTTGCACCAACAGGACTTCACAACCCAACCAGCTAAGACCACACAAAATCTCAGAAGTATTTATTCATAGTTACTACTCTCTATTTTTCTTAAACGATCAAAGCAAAAATCTCAGTGCCTAAGTGTCTTCCCTAGTGCTTTCAATTGGGTTTGCAATTGCGTTTAATTTGATGACAGTCAGTAGGTGACTTGAACACTATTAACAATCCTATTAAAAGATGCTAGTTGCTACATTTCCCCCCTTACTCTTTCATTTGGTAACTTAATGGCTTTAAATTTTGCTCTTGGTTGTTTATAGGCTGTTTCATTTGCTACCATCCCTCTCCTCTTTTTCATTAGGCTCTTCAAGGATTTAAGAGTTCTAAAGCTCTTGATAAATGTTGGGAATGATGTTTACATTTTTTTATTTCCCCAGAATCCAGAATTTTTACATAATCAATATCTTGAATTTTAGGCTAACAGTATCTTAATGGGGTTCTTGGTCAGGTCTCTTCATATTCCATGTGAAGCAGAGAATAAAAACCAATTCCCTTTTGGAAAAAAAAAAAAGTTGGCCTGGGAAGGCCATTTTGCAAATAAATAGAGGCTATTACCTTCTTAAAGCAACCATTAACACTGAAAGAAAACACTTCAAATTTGACATTTAAAATCAGCCACGCCCATTTAGGGGACTGATCGTTGAAATAGCCCTTTGAGAACTGGTTCTGCAGCCCTTTCTGGCGCACTCTGTAGGTCCCCTTAAGCACAGCAGCACCTCTCCTGCCCCTCCCCTGGATGGGATCTGATTCCCAGCCAGCCATTCCCAGGGGGTTTAGCTTTCAGTCCCGAGTAGGTGACCAGATAGGTAATTCAGGGCATTTTGAGGAACAATTCCAGGAGTAAAATATGTTTTCGTTGCATTGGAATGGCATTTCCTCAGCGCCAGGCTCGCCCAGGCCACAGGAAGATTATGACAGTTGACAGGCTGGGTGTTAGTCAAAAGAGAAGCCCACACTGCAGCGGCGGGACCCTGAGAAGTGAGTCGGCTCCTGAGGCCTTCTGGAGTGACTGGGGAGGGAAGCCCATAGTAGGAAATATCTCCAGACAGTTGTCACTGTGTCTCAGGATGACATCCAGATGCCCACCACGGCTCCTGAAGATGATGCTACCAACGAAAGATGTCAGTCTTGAGAACATGGCAGCCGTTCAATAAAGCAACGTGGGTGCCGCAAATTGAACTCACTTGCTAATATGTAAATAGTGGCTTCTCAGCCTGTGTCCAAGTAAAAACAGAGCTCCTACATGTTACAAACACAAATTAAAATAATCACAAAATAGTTTCAATATTTCATCACTCGGCTCAGAGTTCTGCTGGAGAAGCAAAGTGCAGTTCCTCCCCTCTCTCGAATTCTAACTGGAATTCTAACAGTCTATCAAGGCGTGGAAACCATGGTGTACTGAGATTGCTATGAAGCCTACCCGCCCACATTTTCTGATAAGGCAGGAATGTACTTTTCAAATCTGAACATGGCCTTTCTCATCTGTCACCACTATATTTCTTCACCTTGCTTCCCTAGGGGGCAAAATGCTGTACCCTAGGACTTCTCTCAGGGGTTGACATCTCATTGCCTGTTGGTTCAACGTCTTTCTCATCTAGTGAAAATGCAAAGACACTGACCAAAGACCTATTGACTGCTCCCCCTGCTCACTCATCTCAGTGCCTCGGAAAGCAGAAGCCATCAGCTAGCCTGCCCCTGCTATAGACACCGGCTTAGAAGGTATAGGACAAGGTTTCCAAACTGTAAGGCTTACCAGGGAAGAAAGGAGAGAGGACTATGTATCTATTGTCGGGCACCAGCTGCTAATTCCTCACTGGAGGAGGTAACTTGAGCTCATTTCCTACCCAGCCCAGCACCAGCCTTGGTTGTGAGGTCTGCCCAGAGGAATTGCTGGCCCTTAGAGAAATTTCTGCAATGATTGTGCTTCCGGACAGAGCTCAGCCAGACGTGAACCTGAGAGGAGGTACATAGGGCTAAAAGTAGGCCTATTTTTCTTGTTTCTCAAACAAGATAGTTGTCTTAGAAGGTTTGAAAGTGTTGATACCCTGATGGGTTTTGCCTTGAGAAGGGCTCCTATGAAGCCCTTTTCGGGGGAGCACCAAAAATCTGCCAGCAGGTTATATTAGTTCTTCCTCTCTCCAGCTGAAAAGGAAAGAACTATTTGAAGTTCTAAATAACTGACAAAATCAGGTTGGGTTATTGCTTCTGCTTTTATATAGACAGGAGAAGGGCAAGTTTGCGTGTCTAGGGTGGGTGGTGGATGAGGGGGATTGTGGGAGGGCGCCTCAAATCTGCTCTTGAGCAATGAAGGGAGAGGGAGGAAGGAAGGCACCCACTGGCTAAAATGAAATACATTTCAGAAGGGCAGCTGCCATCGAGAGGTAGGGCTACCCTGCTAGGGCTCCTCCTTAGCTTGTCCTGCAGTCCTGTCCCAGCCTAGTGTGGGAGGAGAGGTAGCTGAGCTAGGGGTGTTTTCTGCGAATGCCCCACCAGTTAAACACATACTGTTTGGAATGTAGTTCTGTCTATGTTGGGAGGCTTTTCTCCAAGGTGACATCCTGTTTTTAGACTGTGGTATTGGAATGGAAGCAATCCTGCCCAGCTATTGGGTTTATAAATCAGAGGTCAGGGTAGTGGCCGTTGGAGTCCCAAATTGATAAAAAGCCATGGCCTGAAAGTCTTCTTAGATTGTGTCTGTCTCAGAGGTGGCTCTTGAGTATGGGTGCTGATTTTCTATGCTGGCACATGGAGCCATCTTGGGCAGGGCAGCAGGAATTCCGGGGAAAGAGCATGAGCAAATTCACCCACTGGGAGATCTAAGTGTACGTTAGTTTGCTTTTCCAAATCTGCTCTATTCTGGAGAGTACACTTTCACACCGCATTAAAAAGCACAAAGTAAAGAGGAGGCCTTCAAACCTCAGTAGCAACATTTTTCAACACAAAGGATCTCTCTTTCTTTCACAAGTCATTGTCACAGCCAGTTCGCCACAGGAATAGATAGTGGCAATGGGGGAGTAACGCAACGCACAGACCAGCCCCGGATCTCACTGGGGCAAGCATTGCATCCTCTCCCTTATCTGACCTTTCCCACCTTCTCACGCAGACTTATCTAACTTTCATCTCTTGGTCCTTCCCTTGACCTTTCCTTTGACAAATGGACTAATTAATAAATGGCCAACAGGCTGAAGGAAGAGAAGAAGAGGCCCAAACAAGCCTAGCCTTGGGTAACCTGTGTCTGGACCAAAGATAAGTTAGCCTGTAATAAGTTCCCAATGAATCATGCGTTTTTTTCAGACACCAGAAGATGAAGCGAAGTCATTCTATCTGCCTCCCACTTCTTCCATCCAGAATCACAGATCTCCGCTGGGGCTGGTAAAAACAGCTGGTTGAGGTCTCTAGTCTCTGGCCATTCTTAGGAATAGTCATTTTATTCCTAAGTGTGACCCCTTCTGGTGTGACCCATGTGTTTTCTGCCAATTCCCCACAAAGAAGGCCGGGGGAAACTGTCTGGGTGGGACTCCGGATAGGGGACAGCAGGACCTTGGAATCTGTCACTGTGGAAGAAGGAGGATGGTCCATGATGGGGAAAGGAGGGCTGAATAAGATTAGGCTCTGGGGTCTTCCTGGCCTTGACCTGTGGAAAGGCTTAGAACCCCCTGATGGTCGCTCTATTTTTGAAGAAAGAAGGTTGTCCCCAGATGGCTCTGTCTCTGATGTGCGCTTCCTGCATTGCACTACTGCATCCTGGGTGGACAGCAGGTTAGCCAAACCTGGTTCTGGAGAAAGGCTGGGGCCTTCACATGTGCGGGATGCAGTGGCATCCATGGGCAAGGGCCCCTTGGCTCCTGTGTCTTGCTTTGGTTTCTCTTCCTTGGGGCTTTCTGAGGAGGAGGGAGAATCACCTTTGGCAGGTTTCCCGGAGGTCACATCAGTGGATCTAGGTTCTTCTGGGCTCTTCTCCGGAGGCTGAGCCCCACCTTCCGCTGGGCTCTGAGAGGGCAGGGGCTGTGGGATCTCTGTGTACTGAAGCTTAGGAGGGATGACGGGGACCGCCCTGGCCTGGCACATTTTGACCATGAAGGAGGTTCTCACAGCCGACACACTGACGGGAGCCGAGTTACGGCGGCCTGTCAGGGCATGAGCAACCATGTCCAGGTCCTGAGAGTCCTGGGAGTCAACCCTCCAGAGGTCTGCTTTACAGTGAGATGAGGTCATCCATGTGACCTTTGGGTCTTCTGGCTCAGAGAGCTGCATTCCAGGTGAACCAAATGAGGCCACATTTTCAAACTGGAAGAGGTCAGTGATGGGAATGGCAGAGTCCAAGTTCAGGGAAGAAGGCCTATTTTTCCCTTTTGGGGGCCCACACTCGGTGCTCTTCAGCTGTAACTTTGGGGGATGCTCTTCGTGCGGGGTGCTGTCCTGCACACGAGGTGAGCTCTCCTTGCTGCTCTCTGGTCTGGGCACACTACCTTGCTCAGTCTGAGGGCTGCTGTGCCCCAGGTGCGTCCCCTGTTCCTTTCCCTCTGCTAGGCTGACAGGGCTGGTTTCTGCTGGTTTGGGCTGCAAACCACCTGGTCTCTTCTGACTGGGAAGAGCCTCTATCCCTTTCAGGCCAGAGAACTCTCTGAAGGACCTCAGGGCTTTCTCATCCCATCCAGTAACCTCTCTCCTGGGTGCTGGGGGCTGCAGCAGGTCGGGGCTCCTCTCGGCTTCAAGATTAGCACAGCTGATGGAGGAGGGGCCCTTGAGAGTCCACTGGCTCTCAGCCGTGGGCTTGCTGTCTAGGGAATGGCTCTGGCGAAGGCTAGGTCTGTGGGAAAGCCTCTTCTCCAGCCGGTGGCACTGAAGGCCCTGCCCCTGGGCCTCTTGCCCATTTTTCAGGGTGGGGGAGTGAAGGGGACTCGTCACCCACTGGGGCTCCTCCCAGGGCTCCACCATCTCTAGGCCGTGCTGGGCCACGTCTGTCCCGGTGTCATCGTCATCGCCGTCCGAGGGCTCCTGTGTTGAATGGGCTGCATCCCCCTCTCCGGGTGGGGAGAGTTCAACCTCCCTTGTTGGGCTTGGAAAACCAGCGCCTTTTCCATCGGGAGCAGCATTCTTTGACTTCAGCTTCTCACTTTGTCCGGGAGAGGCCTTGTCTCCCTGACAAAGACTGGGGATCGCAGGGCTGCCTTTGGACTTCGGCTGGTCTATGTGTGGACTTGTCCTTGAATTCTTTGGTGAGTCTTCCCTCTCAGGGCCGTCCTTCTGTAGCTGGACTCGAGGTGCCTCCTCCAGAGGCGTTGGAGGGGGTGGAGCAGGTGGGATCAGGGGAGATAGGTTCCCCGGGCCTCCCACCTCCACCCTTGCTTGTGGAGAAGCCGTCTCCAATGGAATGATTTCCAGAGGAGCCAGGCTGGCGGGGTCTGGGCACGGAGTCTTCTCAGTCTCAGATCTGTGTAGGCTGCTGATTGCCTCTGGCTTCTCTCTATTGGCTGCTGTGGGAGCCTCCTCTGTGCTCTGTTTGGCTGGATCCCTAGCCCACTCCTCCAGAGGGGCAGAGACTGGAGCTGGGGTAGAGACACAAGGCAAGCTCCCAGGAGGCTCTGGGGGAGCAAAAGGCCTTGGATTTGACTCAAGGATGGGCTGAGTTGGGCTGACCTTCAGAGCAGGTGGTGGCAACGAGGGCAGCTCCTCCTCAGATTCAATGATTTTTAGCTCCTGCTGAATCTCAGGCCAGATCAGGGTGCTGGTCAGATCATCTTCATCCTGAAAAACATCAAGAAACTGCGTATTTAGAACCAAGGACTCTCAGGGCTGTCATCCTCACTGTCTGCCAGGGACTGGACCAGTGCCAGGCTGGGCACCTCAGCGAATAAAGGACACAGCACTAATAATCACTGGATGTTTATTCAGTGCTTACCATGTGCCATAGCATACAGTTGGCCCTCCATATCTAGGGTTCTGCACCTATGCATCTACGGGTTCAACCAACCTCAGATCGGAACTCACTCACTCTCTCTATATATATCTATATCTATATTATATCTATCTATATCTATATCTATCTATCCCTATCTCTATCTCTATCTCTATCTCTATATCTATATCTATCATCTATATCTATATCTATATCTATCTATATCTACATCTATATCTATCTATATCTATATCTATATATCTTATATCTATATATCTGTATATCTATCTATATCTATATAGATAGATATACAGATATATATATACTAGAGGCCCGGTGCACAAAAATTTGTGCACTCGGGGGGCAGGGGGAGGGGGGTCCCCCAGCCCGGCCGTGCCCTCTC